ACACAACCGGGTCTTCAGCCAACCTTTGAAAAAACTTCACATTCAACAATTGTGGCTTCACATTCAACACAAACAGCCCTCCCAATACCCGAATCCCCTCCTATCACCAAAGCCACCTTTCCCTGCACCAAGAGAACAAAAAAGAAATTACGTTAGATGCTTTTTCATATTATGAAACAAATAGGGTTGCGCTTATTCTGTTTTTTTGCTGCTTCGGCAAAAGGTTCGATATTTACACTGTTTATCTTTAAAAACCTTGTGCATTGAAATCAAATGACAATTATGATAACTACAAAATGAGAAGCTTCATACAGAAATGATTATGGATTTCGTCTAATTTAGCTGAAGTCTATTGGGTGACCAAATGACAAGAATAATAAATTCAAGAAAGGAAGTGTACTTGGAGTTTGTTAGTGGGCTGGTAATTAGGATCGCTGAATATTGGAAGAGGGTCCATTAGGTACTCTTTTCCAGGTTGACCATCCTGATGCTGTGGTGGGAATCTTCGTTCGCCTTCTTCCCTCCTCATGGCCTTCGCCTAAAAAAAGTTACCACACTCCAGTTAGGGTAATTGAATGCTTGTGAGTTTTTATCATCAATGGCTGCTCGGATTTGAAACAAAAAAAAAATGAAAATTTTCCACCACAAGGACTAATTAATAATCCAATAATATATTACAATCAAATTTAGCGTATTCTGAATAGAAGAGAATTAGCAGACCTTAAAGGTGTGAATAGAAGATGAACCACGTCTTAAAACACATGTTGTCGTTGCAGCAACACCATTATTGCTAGTTCTTGTAGAAGGACGTGAAGTCAACAACCGCCGTGAGTGTAAACATGAGTTTTGTGTGATCGGTATTCTACTGGAGACTGAACCTACCAAACGAACCATCACCGAGCACAACATGACTTACGATGGATGGATGAATGAATGAGAGACCTCGTTATGAAATATATAGGGAATTTTTTTTTCGAAGTCAAATATTTCATTAATCTGAAAAATAAGTCCGACTAACCACATTAATGACAATTTGGTCTCTTTCCAACCTTGCTTACACGCAAAGATGTACTCATACCTCAACAATCATTTTTCCTATGTCACAACCAAAAGCCAAGAAATTGTCAAGGGCGGTCCTAAACAATTTGGGGCCAGAGCAAAAAAAAATTAGAGCCCTTATAAATTTTTTTTAAAGGAGGGCGGTACCTCTAGAAAATTTTCTCAATTAAAAATAATAATACAATGAAGGTTGGGCCCACCTATGGGAAAAAAAGGCTTCGGGACAGGCCTCGAAAGTCAAACAACCTAACAACTATTAATACGAGAAAAAACAAAATAAAAAGGCAAGAACATACTCTGAACCCTAATACATAAACGTAACAAAGAAAAAGTAAAGAAATTTACATTTACGAGCTTTTTTAGATGCAAAGTCATCAGTTATATAATCGAGTTCAATATTATCCCACAAATCTTTTTCAATGCATAACATAACCAAACCATTTAATATTTCTTGTGATATTGATAATCTATAATATTTTTTAAAAAATTTTAGTTTTGAAAAATTTCTTTCCGTTGATGCTATAGTAACATGTATGGTTAATAAGATTTTATATAAAATACAATCATTTGGATAACAATCTTTACCTTTGGCAAACTTTAAAATTTCAACCGATGACATAACAACATTTGGCAAAGTCTTTTGTAATACTTTAAGTTCCGTAAAAAATCATTTAAATCCACATCACATAAGTAATTATGAGTAAACTTATTTACAAAAATAGTACAACATTTTTTAAGTTCAATATCATCCAATGACTTTAACCTTTTTGAATCGTATAAAAATCCAAAAATGTTTTCAAAGTTTGTTACTTGTGCAAATCTACTATCTAATGACTCAATTGTAACATCAACAATATATATAAAATAGTCAATTCGAAATGATTTTTCGGGTGATTATAATTCATTTTCACAACTAGTTTCATTAAATTGTTTTTTTCTAATAATTTGCCGTTTTTTTAGAATAGAGGTTCAACGTCCATATCCGATACAATGTCCTTAACATTATCTATACTAAGGGCATAACCTTCATTTTTATAAATTTAAAAAATGGCATCATTTTTTTTAATAGATCAATTTGTGGAATCAATACACATTGTTTTGGTTCGCATTTTTTTACTAACTCTATTTATAGCAACTAAAATCGCATACCAAATTACCATATAATGTAAAAAATTCATAACTTTCCATAGCATTCAGCTTCACTTTTAGACTTTGCATCATCACATGATAAACATATTTCTATCAAGGCATCCCTTATATGAGGAGCTTGAAACCTAATGGATTTGACACTTTTCATTTGACTCCCCAACGTGTATTAGATAAAGATTTTACTGTTATGTTAAAGTTAGGGGCTTTATAAAATAATATTGACCATCTTTTGGTTGAACCCGAAAAGAATACAAAAATGTGTTGCAAAACTACAAAAAAATGGCTTTAGCACAAGAATGAGGCATATCAATAATTGTGAGGTTAAGACAAAGAAAAACACATGGCATATACAATGCTTTCAGATTAATTTCAAGTAATAATAGTTTTTGAACCCTTAGGTGTTTTCATGTCATGTTAGAACCATTATCATAACATTGTCCTCTTACATCATCAATATTATGACCATATGATTTAATTACATTTAATAACTCATTAAGAAGTCCTAGCCCAATGTATTTTCTACCTTCAAAAATTCTAAAAAAAAATCAACTATTATTTTATTATTTGTCATGTTCACACATCGAATAACTAGAGTCATTTGTTCTTAATGGATAACATCAGAGGTGCAATGAAGGATAGCGGAAAAATATTTTTGATTCTTTTATAATATTAACTAGGTTAAAACCCGTGAACCCACAGGTGTTAATTTTAAATAGAATTAAAAATTTAATTATGTAATAAAATAATATATCATTAATTTAGAAAACTTATGAATTGTAATATTGTATTTTTCAATAACTCTCTGAGTTGTAACTTGTAAGTACTTAATTACATAGTAATTTGGTGAGATTAATAGAAATTGTTGTTGTCTTCGTCAGTTCTTTTTCAAACTTTACCCTGATTTACTGCGTCATGTATTTCTTCTTTAGGCTTTCTGGCTGTAACTTTGAAATCCGTGCAATGGTAGTGTTTTTCTTAGGATATGTTCCTTATTTTTAGTAACTTTGGAAATGGTAAGTATTTAATTACAAATTGAGATTTTTAAAACCCTTACTTTTGGTGCATGATTTTTGTTGAACATACAAAGATGATGACGCAACCACAAGGGAGCGCGTGACACTACTAGAAAAACAGCCTTTTACGACGCGCAATGCGTGTCGTAAAACGCTCAGACGACGCGCAAATGCGTGTCAAGGAAGGCCCTTTCATAACGAGAGACGACACGCTTTTGCGCGTCGTCTACAGATGACGCGCATTTACGACGCGCAGTTACGACACGCATTTACGACGCTCATTTACGACACGAATACGTATCAAGGAAGGCCCTGTCATAAAGGAAGACGACACGCATTTGCGTGTCGTAACCTTACGACGCGCGTTTAGGACATGCATTGCGTATCATTATAGCCCCGTCATAAATGAAGATGACACACATTTGCGTGTCATAAATTTCAGCAACCATTACAATATGCATATACGACGTGCCTTTACGATACTCTTTTACGCATAATACAAAAATATAGAAAAAAATATATACCAAAACAATCAATTTTATCCAATAACATCATGTCAAAAAATTGTAATACATTAATATTAAAGGGACCTGATTGTACATTGTTATTAAGAGGTTTCTCTAACTATATAACCTAATACTACATTGCTATTAAGGGGCACCTTCTTGTTTCAGATATCATGTCCACATCATAAGCTTTATTGCTCTTTTCTTTTTTAATAGTAGGCGCCACAACAGTTAATGTATCTCTATCTCCCCCTTCCTTTGTAGCTTGGTCAAGAACATCATCTCCACCCTTCAGAGTAATGAAACAAAAATAATGTAAGAGAGAAACATGTAGTCTAAATGATTCAAAACATGTGAATTTAACTATCCTTACAAAACATGTGGATTGCCAGATGAATAACATTTTTACTCCTGTTTAGCAAACAATAGGTGGTTGCCAGATGAATAACGTTTTTACAAAA